CCCCGCGGATGTCCCAGTACCCCAACACCGCCATGGCCCCGACACGTGACAGCCCCGCGGCCCCGCCCCGACACGTGACAGCCCCACTGCCCCGCCCCGACACGTGACAACCCCGCGGCCCCGCCCCGACACGTGACAACCCCGCGGCCCCGCCCCGACACGTGACAGCCCCGCGGCCACGCCCCGGCACGTGACAGCCCCGCGGCCACGCCCCTGGCGGGGGCGGGGCTTGCTGGGGTGAGGGGGACGTGCGGGAGGGACTCGGGTCCGGCGGGACCCCCCCTTTGTCCTGGGGGCTTTGCGACCACCCCCCCCCACGGGGTCCCCCTGAACAGGGGGCTCTGTGACCGCCCGTCCCCACGGGACCCCCTGAATTCCATGGAGACCCCCTTAGAGCGGGCTCTGGGATTCCCCATCCCCATGGGACCCCCTGAATTCCATGGAGACCCCTTAGAGCGGGCTCTGGGGTTCCCCATCCCCATGGGACCCCCTGAATTCCATGGAGACCCCCTTAGAGCGGGCTCTGGGATTCCCCATCCCCATGGGACCCCCTGAATTCCATGGAGACCCCCCTTAGCAGCGGGCTCTGGGATTCCCCATCCCCGTGGGACCCCCTTGTCCTGGGCTCTGCAACCCCACCCCCCGCCAGATTCCACGGGATCCCCCTTAACAGGGGGCTGTGTGACCCCCCTTCCCCATGGAGGTCCCCTTTATCTGGGGGGCTCTGCAACCCCCCCATCCCCACAAGACCCCCTTGTCCTGGCGGCTCTGGGACCCCCAAACTCCATGAGGGGGCCATGAATCCCTCTGTGCCCCCCCCTCAAGCTGTGGGGGGGGTCCCCCTTTCAACTCCCTGAGGAGGGGTCTCATTATGCTGGGAGGGCACAAATAAGGGGTCCCCCTTATCCTGGGGGTGCAGAGAGAATGCCCCCCCATCCCAGGCTCCAGGAGGGTCCAACAGCCCCCCACCCCCCACGGGGTCACCACGGGGGTTACCCCACAAACGGGGGGTCCCCGCAATCCTACAGCGAACCCACAAATCAGCTGGACAAGGGGGAGGCCCCCACGGTTTACTGGGGGGGTGAGCTGGGGGGCACGGGGGTGAGTTGGGGGGCAGGGGGGTGAGCTGGGGGGCACCGGGGGGTCCCCCCTCAGTCCTTGGTGCTGCACCACTTGGCCGTGCGCCAGAAAATGGGCGTCTTCATGAAGCGACCGGAGCTCATGTAGGAGGAGACCTTGGGCAGGGCCTGGGGGGACACGGGGGGACACTGAGGACAGCAGGGACTGGGGGGGGACCCTGGGGACAGCAGGGACTGGGGGGGGACACTGGGGACAGCAGGGACTGGGGGGGATATGGGGGGACCCTGGGGACAGCAGGGACTGGGGGGGATATGGGGGGGACACTGGGGACAGCAGGGACTGGGGGGGATATGGGGGGACACTGGGGACAGCAGGGACTGGGGGGGGACAGGGACACGTGGGGAAAGTGATGGGGACACGGGACAGGGCTGGGAACACCAGGGACATGTGGGGAGAAGGATGGGGACAAGGAGCACAGGGACAGGTGGGGACAGGAGTGGGACCACTGGGGTGTCAGTGGTGGGGACAGCGGGGGGGTCAGGAATGGGGATAGGGACAGATGGGGACAGGGACACCAGAGTGTAGGGGATGGGGATGGGGGCACAGGGGTGTCAGGAATAGGGACAGGGTCACCACAGGGTCAGGGCTGGGGACACTGGGGGTTGGGGACACCAGAGGGTCAGTGGTGGGGACACCGGGGTGCCTGGGATGGGGGCACTGGGGACACTGGGGTGCCTGGGATGGGGGTACTGGGGACACTGGGGTGGCTGGGATGGGGGCACTGGGGACACTGGGGACACTGGGGTGGCTGGGATGGGGGCACTGGGGACACTGGGGTGGCTGGGATGGGGGCACTGGGGACACTGGGGTGTCTGGGATGGGGGCACCAAGGGATGTCAGCAATGGGGACAGGGACACCAGGCTGTCTGGGATGGGGGCACTGGGGACACTGGGGTGCCCCGGGCTGTCCCCAGGCTGTCCCCTGTCCCCCCTCACCTCGAAGCGCTGCAGGAAGCGGCCCAGGTTTCCCTGGAATTCGGGGCTGTCGGGCACAAACATGCGGTGCTGGTCCAGCACATCGTAGGCCAGGAAGTCCACGAAGGTCAGCTGGGGGGGCAGGGAGGGTCAGACCCCACAGGGACCCCCAAAACACCCCCCCAGAGCCCCCTCAACTCACCTTGTCCCCCGCAAACCAGGGCCGGGAGCCCAGGAAGCGCGAGAACTCCTGGAGCTTCTTGGGAAGCTGCTCCAGGTACCCCGGCTTCAGCTTCTCCTGCAGGGGCAGAGGCTTGGGGGGGCTGCAACACACCCCAGACCCCCCAGAACACCCCCAGACCCCCCAGAACACCCCCAGACTCCCCAGAATACCCCCAGACCCCCCAGAACATCCACCAGACCCCACAGAACACCCCCAGACTCCCCAGAATACCCCCAGAACACCCCCAGACCCCCCAGAACATCCACCAGACCCCACAGAACACCCCCAGACTCCCCAGAATACCCCCAGAACACCCCCAGACCCCCCAGAATACCCCCAGACCCCCCCGAACACGGGCAGCACCCTCGGGCAGAGAGGGGGGAGTGGGAATGGGGGAAAGGGGGATGGGAAGGGGGGAATGGGGATGGGAATTGGGGATGAGAACAGGGAAACTGAGAATGGGAATGGGCAAATGGGAGGGAATATGGGAACGGGGGAATGGGGGATAAGAATGTGGGAATTGGGAGTGGGAATGGGGGAATTGGGAGTGGGAAAGGGAAGGGAGATGAGAACAGGGGAATTGGGGAATGGGAGATGGGGGGGAATGGGAGGATGGGGGATGAGAATGGGGGAGTTGGGAATGGGAATGAGGGAGTGGGGGGATGAGAAGGAGGGAATGGAGGGAATGGGGGCAAAGGGGGCACCCCAACAGCCCCCCCCACGCCGGTAGTGGCTCAGTCCCTTGTCCCACGTGGGGGGACAGTCCCGGCGTTTGGGGGGGTTCATCCCCCCACACCCCCCCCGGGGGTACTCACGAAGTCGGGGCTGTAGCAGAGCCGGATGAAGCCCATCCTGAAATCCATGAGCTGGTTTTCCATCAGATCCACGCGCTGCTTCTCCTGCTCCGTCTGGCCGCCTGCGGCACCGGGAGGTGTCACACACCCCCCTCCCCCCAAAAAGAGCCCCCCGGGGACCCCCCCGGCCCCCCACTCACACAGGTCGTGCTTGCGGGCGAGGTAGCGCAGGATCGCGTTGCTCTGGGTCAGCTTGGTGGGGCCGTCGATGAGATACGGCAGCTGGGGGGGGTCCGGAGGGGGGGTCAGCCCCGGTGATCTCCCTCCCGCGCCCCCCACGCCCCCCCCCCCATCACCTACGTTGGGGAAGTCGAGCCCCAGTTTCTCCTTCTCGTTGGTCCAATCGCTCGGGTCGAAATCGGGGGCTGGGGGGGGGGGAGGGCAGAGCAATTAGGGGGAGGGGGGCTCCCCCAGACCCCCCCCTTGCCCATAGGGGGGTCCCGCTCTGCCCCAGGAGCTGCGTGTGCCCCCCCCGACCCCGGCACGCCCCGGGCCGATCGGGGAGGACGTTGCCCCCGAGAGGGGTCAAAGGCCGATTTGGGGGAGGGAGGAGGTGGGGGTGCCCCCCCCGAGCTGCAGGATGGGGTGAGGAGGGGGGAGGAAGAGGGACAGGCTGGAAACGGGGCGTCCCGTCCCCCTCCCAGCGGGTTTTGGGCACGGCACAAAGCAGGGGGAGGGGTCCCGGGGGGTTGGAGGGGTTTGGGGGGGTCCCAGCCCCCCCCACCTGGGCCAGCGCGGTACTGGCGCTCCTGGTAGGGGGTCTCCGTGTACTCCAGCAACAGGCGGATGGCGTGGGCCAGCTGGGGGGACAGACACACATCGCCCACCTTTGGCACCCCCACAACCCCCCTGTGCCCCCCAGGACCCCCAAAACCCCCCGGGGACCTTCAGCACCACCAACGCCCCCCGGGACCCCCGGCACTCCCACACCTTGCTGGGACCCCCAGAACCACCACCCCCTCGGGACACCCAGCACCCCCCCAGCACCCATCCTGAACGCCCCAGAACCCTTCAACACCCACCCTGGGACCCCCAGAACCACCACCCCCCCGGGACACCCAGCACCCCCCCAGCACCCATCCTGAACGCCCCAGAACCCTTCAACACCCACCCTGGGACCCCCAGAACCCACCACCACCCACCCCAGGACCCCCAGCACTCGCCTGGGACATCCAGCACTCCCACACGACCAACCCTGGGACCCCTAGAACCCCCCAACACCCCCTCTGGGACCCCCGGCACCGCCAGAGCACTCTGGGGCCCCCAGGACCCCTCAAACCCCCCCTCTATGCTCCCCAGAACCCTCCAACACCCCCCCTGAGACCCCCGGCGCTCCCACACCATCAGCACCCCCTCTGAAACCCCCGGACCTCCCACCAGCCCCCCTGAGACCCCCGGAACCCCCCCCCCGTGTCCCCCCCGCCCCACTCACCCCCCCCACCACCACACCACCAAGTTTCCACCCCCCCGTGCCCCCCCCCGGCCCCACTCACCCCCCGGATGTCCCAGTACCCCAGTGTCACCACCATGGTGCCCCTCAAGCCCGGCCCTGGCACGGAGCGGGACGGACTGGGCACGGGGACGGACTGGGCACGGGGACGGACTGGGCACGGGCACGGGGACGGGGGGCCGAGCCCCCCCGGGCCCTCCCCCTGCCCCTCCCCTGCCCCTCCCCTCCCCAGTGCCAGGTCGCCCCGCCAGCGCTGGCACCGCCCCCCCTGCCCTGCCCCGGCCCCACACCCCTCCCTGACCCCCCCTCTGGCCTCGGGGACCCCCAAACCCACCCCCCGAGGGGACACAGCCCCCCCCGCGCCCCCGTCCCTCAGCCCCTCGCCCCGTTCCCGCCTCCCCCCAGTGAAATTCCGGCGTTGTACTTAAATACTTTATTTTCCATGCTGGGACGGGGGTTGGGCTGAACGGGTTTCGTTTGGGTTGAACCGTTTTTGGTTGGTTTTCAGGTTTTCTCGGGAGCAGCTGCGGCTGCGCGGGGGGGCAGGGCCGGACTGGGGGTCGCAGGGATGGGGGGTGATGCCCCCCCAGGGACGGGAGAAGCCTCATCCGGGCCACAAATCCTGGGAAAAGGGGGCCCAGGGACGGGTCACCGTGTCCCCTTTGCCTTCAGCCCCGGGAGGGTGAGGAGGGATCCCCCCCCAGCACCACCCCCCATGTCCCCCCTGACGTGTCCCCCCGTGGGAAGGGGCAGAAATCCCGCGTTGGGGTCCCCGAGGAGCCCCCTGGGCTTGTCCCCACGTCCCCTGGGGGGGAGAGTGGACGGAGAGGGGGTGGGGGGGTCAAGGAGCGTCAGGAGCTGGGGGGGTGGGTTGGGACCCCCATGCTGCCCCCACACCCCCAGCAGGGACCCCTGACCTGTCACTGTGTCCCCACCATGGGGGGTGAAGGCAGGACCCCCCTGGGTCACCTGCTGGTGCCACCAAGGCCCAACCCAGTGAGGACACACCAGTTAAAAAAGGCAGGAAAAGGCCAAAGAAGGATCAAAAAAAGGCCAAAATGAGACGAAACAAAGAGGACCCAACAAACTGTGTCCCCTGGTGCCACCAAACCTGGCAGGGCCCAACCCAACCCAGTGAGGAAACACCTGTTAAAAACCAGAATAAGACCAAAAAAAGACCCCAAAAATGAGCAAAACCAGACGAAATGGAGAAGACTCAGCAAACTCTGTCCCTGTGTCACCTCCTGGTGCCACCAAACCCAGGGAGGGGACACTGGTTGTAAAAGGCAGGAAAAGACAAAAAAAAAAAGATCCAACAAAAGCCCTCCAAAATGACCAAAACGAGTCAGAATGGAGAGGATCCAACAAACTCTGTCCCCATGTCACCTCCTGGTGCCACCAAACCTGGCGCCACCAAACCTGGCAGGGCCCAACCCAGCAAAGAAACACCAGTTAAAAAAACCAGAAAAAAGACCCAAAAAAGACCCCAAAAATGACAAAACAAGACCCAAAAAATGCCCCAAACCAGACAGAAATGAGGAGGACCCAACAAACCGTGTCCCCCTCGGCGGCACCGGGACAGCGGTGGGAGCCGGTGGGGGGGATGGCATCGGAGCCCTGGGGGGATTGGTGGTCTCGTGGGGGGGTTCATGGGGGTCTCTGGGGGTCTCAGGGGGTACCCAGGGTGATGGTGGTGCCCCCTCCCCCGGTGGGCTCCAGCTCAGCACCTGTGGGTGGGGGGACACTGGCAGAGCCCTGGGGGCATCAGGGATGTCGGGGGGCCCTGGGGGGTCTCTGGAGGTCTCAGCGTGTGTCCAGGGTGGTGGTGATGCCCCCCTCCCCCTGGGTGGGCTCCAGCTCTGCCCCCTGCAGTGCCCGCGGGTCGGGGGATGGCGGCAGAGCCCTGGGGGCTACTGGGGGTGTCGGGCGGTCCCGCGGGGTCCTGGGGGTCTCTGGGGGGTCTCAGTGCGTGCCCAGGGCGATGGTGATGCCCCCCTCCTCCTGGATGGGCTCCAGCTCGGCCCCCTGCAGCGCCTGGGTGAGCAGGGTGAGCTCCTGGCACAGCGTCTCGAAGCGATATCCCACGCGGATGTCGGGCACGTTGGTCCGGCGGATGTCGTTCCCCTCCGGGCCCTCCCGCTGGTAGTTGGGGCCCAGCCAGTAACTCTTCACCTGAGGGGGCACCCACGGGGTCGGGGGGGGGGCCTGGCACCACGGGAGGGGGAACGGGGGCATGGGGAGGGGATGAGGATGGAGGGCTGGAGGATGGGAATGTGGGACTTGGGGAGGGGGACGCGGGAAAGGGCATCACCTTGTGGGAGAAGCCGCTCATGAGGACGCTGTTCCGGGCCAGCTCACACATGTCACAGGAGCTGAGCTTCCACACCTGGGTGGCGATGCTGTACTCCTCCATCAGGGGCTCCTGCAACAGGGACCCTCAGAGACCACCCAGGGACACCCCAGGGACCCTGAGAGACCACCCAGGGACACCCCAGGGACCCCTGACACCCCACAGGAGCTGAGCTTCCACACCTGGGTGGCGATGCTGTGCTCCTCCATCAGGGGCTCCTGCAACAGGGACCACCAGAGACCCCGCAGAGACCACCCAAGGACACCCCAGGGACCCTCAGAGACACCCAGGGACACCCCAGGGACCCTCAGAGACCCCACAGAGACCACCCAGGGACACCCCACAGGAGCTGAGCTTCCACACTCAGAGACCCCTCAGAGATCGCCCAGAGACATCCTAGGGTTCCTCAGAGACCCCTCAGAGACCACCCAGGGACACCCCACGGACAATCCTCAGCTCCACCCACCCATGGACATCCCCCAGACACCCCCCAGATCCCACTCACAGACCCCCCTCAACTCCCTCCCACCCCCCTGGATGGGGGTCCCACCTCCTCCCCACTGGCCCCCCCAGCCCCCTGGGGCTGCCCCTCCCCGTGCCCACCCCAGGGGTGTCTGTGGCCGGTGCCCCCCTCCCCAAAGGCCCACCTTGGTGAAGTGGAACTGCAGGGGGTCGTCGGTGGACAGGGACACCATGAGGCCCCGGGACAGGTACTCGGGCAGGGGGTTGCGGTGGTAGCTCAGGAACAGGCTGTTGTTGCTCAGGGGGGACATGGCGATGCCGATCTGGGCCAGGTAGTACAGGTACTGCAGCACGGGGGCCTGGGGGGCACACAGGGCTCAGGGGGACGCCCAAAACGGGAGAAAAAACTCCCCAGATGGTGTTAGTCCAGACAAGGGAGAGAGCAGCTCTTCAAGGAAAGCTTTCAGGTGCAGGGAGCACAAAGGTTCAAACCCACACACAGAACTCGCACACTTTTATGTCTTTGACTGATTTCCGTATCCAGTGGGTACGTCCAACCCAAAAACTACTCTTGCCCCCAGTACCACCCTCAGAACTGCCCCACTGGAGCCTTTCCAGGGGTTCTGGGCCCTCTCTCTTGTTTTAACTCCAATATATCCCATTATTCGGGTCCAGGTGCACGTCCCAGGCGGGACGGCCCTGCTGAAACCTCCTGCCCTGGAGAGACAGAAACCGAAACCCAGGAACACAAAGTGTGAGAAGGTAACTGTCTGATGGGAAAGAAAATCAGGGAATCAGAGAACCAGCCGGGTCAGGAAAGACCTCCGAGATCATCCAGTCCAACCCTTGATCCAACCCCGCCGTGGTTCCCAGCCCATGGCACTGATGCCACATCCAGTCTGTGCTTCAACACCTCCAGGGATGGAGAATCCACCCCCTCCCTGGGCAGCCCATTCCAATGGCTGAGCACCCTCTCGGGAAAGAAATTCTTCCCAATATCCAACCTAAACCTCCCCTGGCACAGCTGAAGACCCAGCCCTCTTGTCCTACTGCTGCTTCCTGGGAGAAGAGCCCGACCCCCCCCCGGCTCCCCCCTCCTGTCAGGGAGTTGCAGAGAGTGAGGAGGTCTCCCCTGAGCCTCCTCTTCTCCAGGCTGAACAGCCCCAGCTCCCTCAGCCTCTCCTCACAGCACTTGTGCTCCAGTCCCTTCCCCAGCCTCGCTGCTCTTCTCTGGACCTGCTCCAGCCCCTCCATGTCCTTCCTGAGCTGAGGGCCCAGAGCTGGACACAGCACTCCAGGGGTGGCCTCACCAGTGCTCAGTCCAGGCCAACAATCCCTGCCCTGCTCCTGCTGCCACACTCTTCCTCAGCCAGGCCAGGATCCATTGGCCCTCTTGTCCCCCTGGGCACACTCTGGCTCCTGTTCAGCTCCCTGTCCATCCCCACTCCCAGCTCCCTTCCTGCCTGGCTGCTCTCCAGCCCCTCTGGCCCAGCCTGGAGCTGCCGGGGGTTGTTGTGGCCAAAGGGCAGGACCCGGCCCTTGGCCTGCTTGACCCTCATCCCTTGGAATCAGCCCCTGGATCCAGCCTGGCCAGGTCCCTCTGCAGAGCCCTCCTGCCTTCCAGCACATCAACACACCCCCAGCTTGGTGTCACCTGCCAATGTGCTGATGGTTCACTCGATCCCCTCATCCAGATCATCAATAAAGACACTGAACAGGACTGGCCCCACACTGATCCCTGGGGACACCCCCAGTGATGGGATCCCCACAGGATGCAGCTCCATCCCCACCACTCTCTGGGCCCACACTGATCCCTGGGGACACCCCCAGCGATGGGATCCCCACGGGATGCAGCTCCATCCCCACCACACCCCGGGATGACACAGCTCCACTAAACCCCACACAGAGCTCCAAGCCCTCGGGCCCCCCGTGCCCCCCGTGCCCCCCGTGCCCCCCGTGCCCCCCCCGCTCACCTTGCGCAGCAGGAGCCCGTGGGAGATGTTCTCGGACACCATGAACCCCGACACCAGGTGGTGGACGGGCCCGGCCTCGCCGCAGTGCGGCCGCAGCACAAACGTGTGGAAGCCCCTCTTCCTGAGACAGGGGGAGCGTCAGCGGCACCCCAAAACAGCGGGGGGAACGGAGGGACCCCAAAACAGCGGGGGGAACGGAGGGACCCCAAAACAGCGGGGGGAATGGAGGGACCCCAAAACAGCGGGGGGAACGGAGGGACCCCAAAACAGCGGGGGGAATAGTGTCACCCAAAACAGCGGGGGGAATGGAGGGACCCCAAAACAGCGGGAGGGAATGGAGGGACCCCAAAACAGTGGGGGGAATGGAGGGACCCCAAAACAGCGGGGGGAACGGAGGCACCCCAAAACAGCGGGGGGAATGGAGGGACCCCAAAACAGCAGGGGGAACGGAGGGACCCCAAAACAGCGGGGAGAATGGAGGGATCCCAAAACAGTGGGGGGGATGGAGTGATCCCAAAACAGTGTGGGGAATGGAGGGACCCCAAAACAGCGGGGAGAATGGAGGGATCCCAAAACAGTGGGGGGGATGGAGTGATCCCAAAACAACGGGGGGGAATGGAGGGATCCCAAAACAACGGGGGGGAATGGAGGGATCCCAAAACAACGGGGGGGAATGGAGGGATCCCAAAACAGCGGGGGGGAATGGAGGGATCCCAAAACAGCGGGGGGAAATGAAGAGACCCCCAAAGCAGGAGGGGACGGGGGGGAATGAAGAGACCCCAAAACAGTGGGGTGAGGGAATGAAGGGACCCCAAAACAATGGGGATGATGCAGGGAATGAAGGGACCCCAAAACAGTGGGGGGGTCCATGGGGGGGCAATGAAGGGACCCCAAAACAGCAGGGGAGGGGGGAGGAATGGAGGGATCCCCAAACCATAACGAGGGGTCTGTGGAGGGGAGCCAAGGGGTGTTTGTGGGACATGAGGGGTGTCTGTGGGATATGAAGGGTGTCTGTGGGGTACGAGGGGTGTCTGTGGGATATGAAGGGTGTCTGTGGGACATGAGGGGTGTCTGTGGGGTACGAGGGGTGTCTGTGGGACATGAGGGGTGTCTGTGGGGTACGAGGGGTGTCTGTGGGGCATGAGGGGTGTCTGTGGGACATGAGGGGTGTCTGTGGGGTACGAGGGGTGTCTGTGGGACATGAGGGGTGTCTGTGGGGTGTATGTGGGCGCCGAGGGGTGTCGGGGGTGCCTGTGGGGTGTCTGTCAGTGCTGAGGGGTGCCCCCAGGGGGTCTGTGGGTGTCAGTGGGTGTCATTGGGGGGCATTGGGTGTCAGTGGGGGTCAGTGGGTGTCAGTTGGTGGTTGTTCATGGGTGTCAGTGGGTGTCAGTGGGTGTCAGTGGATGTCAGTGGGTGTCAGTGGGTGTCAGTGGGTGTCAGTGGGTGTCAGTGGGTGGGTGGGTGTCAGTGGATGTCAGTGGGTGTCAGTGGGTGGGTGGGTGTCAGTGGGTGGGTGGGTGTCAGTGGGTGCCCCCCGGGGGTGCCTCACCTGCGCAGGTGGTTGAGCACGGTCATGTTGGCGTACATGTAGTACAGGTAGTAGGAGTAGGGGGGGTTGTCCTCCTCCACCCACTGCCCGGGCAGGGGGCTGTCCAGGTTGAAGATGTGATGCTCCGGCTTGGACTCGTCGTCCACGCTGTCGAACCCGTCCACCTGCGGGCACCGAGCACCGGGATGGGGGGGACATCCCCTGGGGCTGGGGGAGACCCTCCCCTGGGGCTGGGGGAGACCCTCCCCTGGGGCTGGGGGTAACACCCTCCCCTGGGGCTGGGGGTAACACCCTCCCCTGGGGCTGGGGGTGACCCTCCCCTGGGGCTGGGGGTAACACCCTCCCCTGGGGATGGGGGTGACCCTCCCCTGGGGCTGGGGGAGACCCTCCCCTGGGGCTGGGGGTGACACCCTCCCTCCCCTGGGGCTGGGGGTGACCCTCCCCTGGGGCTGGGGGTGACACCCTCCCCTGGGGCTGGGGGTGACACCCTCCCTCCCCCCGGGCTGGGGGTCCCTGGCCCCCCGGGCAGGACTCACGTGCTCCAGGAAGAGGTGCAGCTCCGGGTGCTGGGCCGGGTGCAGCGTGGCCTCGTAGAGGGGCAGGAAGATGTTCTCCAGCATCTCCTGGAAGTTGGCCAACTGCCCCTTGGTGCGGTACACGTCACTGTGGGAACGGGAACGGGAACGGCTGGGACCACCCCCGGCCACGGCCCGGCCAGAGGGGATTTGGGATGGGATGGAGGAACAGGGGCTGGGAATGGGGAAATCGGGGATGGGAGCAGGCAAATGGGCTGAAAGGGAATTGGGAATGGGATTGGAGGAATGAGGGAACTGGGGAGGGAATTGGGGATGGGGGAACTGGGGAACTGGGGATGGGAATGAGCAAATGAGGGCAGAGTGGGAATTTAGGATGGGAATGGGCAAGTAGGGAATGGGAATGAGGGATGTGAGGATTGGAATAGGCAAATGGGGCTGAATGGGAATTGGAGATGGGATTGAAGGAATGGGGGAACTGGGGAGGGAATTGGGGCTGGGGGAACTGGGGAACTGGGGACGGGAATGAGCACATGGGGGCAGAGTGGGAATTTAGGATGGGAATGGGCAAGTAGGGAATGGGAACAAGGGAACTGGGGATGGGAACGGGCAAATGGGGCTGGATATGGGAATTGGGGATGGGATTGGAGGAATGGGGGAACTGGGGAGGGAATTGGGGATGGGGGAACTGGAGAATTGGGGACTGGAATGGGCAAATGGGGCTGAATGGGAATTGGGGATGGGATCAGGTGAGCAGGGAACGGGAGGGCGGGAACTGGGGGCGGGAATGGGCAGAGGGGGCAGAGTGGGGGGCAAGAATGGGGCAGGGTGGGAGGGCAGGAATGGGGCAGTGGGGCAGGAGCAGGGCAGTGGGGCAGGGTGGGGGGCAGGA